TGAACAAACTAAATTACTTAGCATTTTTAATGCAGTCTCAGAAAAAAACAAAACAAAAATGATGTAAAGTCCTGCTTCATGCTCTAAAATAAATCTTTCTATCAGCTGGGTGTTTATTTTAAGAAGTATGCCAGTCTGTGTGTGTTTGGGAATCTCTGATAGGGGGTCAGGTCAGTGGCTGGCCCTGAACACGCACAGAAACGCTGATTGGGTTTCGCCGCTGGAAGCAGCCTCTCCAAATGCGACAAAAGAACAAAACAGTGATTGATAAGGATGTGAAATGTGATCCACACGTCTCTCTCCGCAGCTGCTCCATTAGCAGAACCCAGATCAGTATTCCTGCATATACAGCGCGCTGAGGATTCGAGCAAGTGTTGTTTTGACGTTGTTGTTATCCCACATGTATTGTATGGCGTATTCAGTACTGCTGCATAAAGATGCATCGTGCACTTTGCATCATTTTGAATAGCATATCGATTATTTAACACTATTCTCAATTTATGTTTGTACTCCAGAGATTTTTTTTCACATCTGAACATTTGAAGCAAACACAAATGTTCATAAATGTACTCCTTATTTTCTCACGAGAAGTATTCCAATATTTCATAAAGTATATAAAGATATAAAGATCATAAAGATATTTTTATGCTCTGTATGAAGGTAAATAATTAAAAACTAAATAAACGTAATTCAAATGCATAATATTCACTGGAATTAAATCATAATCCCCTCGCTGTGGTTTCTTGGATTACTGTCAAGCCATCAATACACCAAAACTTTGAGGTTACTTGAGGTTATTAAATTGCATTAGTTGTTTTCACAAAAACTAAAGGAAATGAAGTGTATTGATGTAACTTGATTAACTATGACCAAAATCAGTGCAGCATTTCCTTTTATGTGCAAACGTGTTTTTCTGTCTATATAGTTTTTATTAAAATTTTAGTCATGGTTTATTTGAATTATTTTAAACAAAAAATGGGAAATGTTGCCTTGGCAACTAGCTGCAATAAAATAAGTTTAATTTTTTATTTTATTTATTTATTTGTTTTTTTCAGTTAATGTTTATTTTATTTCAAGTAGTGAAAATAATTGTAATGGTTTTATCTTAAGTTAATTATAATAACCCTGGATTAGCCAACAAAAGCTGAAAATATGTCTTTTCAAAAATTCCCAAATAGACTAAAAATATCCCCCCGATTTAGTTTTTTTTGCTCCATTTTCCCGGAAGGGAAAGCCTGTAAATTTGAAATGTGTAGATCTGCTATAATTTGACTTTTGGTCAACTTTTAAGACTACACTAGCATATGGACAACCAGCGCAAAAAAAACCAAAACATGACATTATTTACATCTTATGGGGTCTCTACAGAGATTCATTAAACTCAAAACAGCTGGATTGCCTGTAGTTTGACACCACGTTTGCACCACAAGTCTCAGTAAAAGCACAAAGAAGGTGTGTAAATGAAAAATCAGTAAAATCTTTGGATGGTGTCGAGGAGCTTTTGTAAAATCTACTTGCGTCAGAATGATTATTATCAAACGGCATTGAATTATTAAGAAAAAACTGAAAACATGGCTGACATCCTAAATCTGCGGGACTCCTGCGTGGCGGATCTTGATGAGGAGTCTTTGTTGCTTTGTGAATCTGCGGGGCATCTACCCAGCGAGGGGTGACGTGGCCCAGCTCGGAGAGCGAAGAAAGCGTGAGCCGGATCAGCTACTGCTGCTAAGGTTACGGCTGATACAGTAAATTCATTGATTCAGTCCACCGTTAGCCGCCCCTCTTGCCAACCTTCCCTGCGACGCTCAGTTGTGATGTAAATATTATCTTACAGTCCTCTCCTAAGCGATCACCTTTCTGAGAGAGATTAACATCCGAGCGGGGCAGCTCTATTAAGAGCCCAGTGAGGGGCGGCTGTGTCTGCTGTCATCTCTCTCTGTGGCTGCCATCTTTCTCCAACCGTTTGTCTTTGCTGACGATGAAGCACTAATGCTGTGTTACAAACTGTAATGTGCAAAGCTGTACCCAAAATTCATTTTTGCCGTATCGGAGCTGGCAGCAAAGTGAGCGAATGCTTTTGCTGCTGTTTGCCATGGGTGGAATACAAAAGAGCATATTATTATCTGAGGTGAAGAAAACCCTCCAGGATACCTGCCTGCTGATAAATGGAGTTAGTAGCTGAAGGAACAGTTCTCCCCAAAATTCTGCCTCGTATGTGTTCCTTTAAAAATGTTAGGAATGGCCTATCAAATGGCCTGTATACACAAATAGTTAAGATTTAATAAAAAGTTAAATGTTCATATATAATTAATAAAATGTGTAATAAACAGTACTTTACCAAAGTGTCAAGTTGACTTGATAATTAATATATTTTGTTTAAACATATAATTCGTGACAGATAAAATAATAGTACCATATGAAGGATAAAACTGTTCAGTTGTAATAATGAAACAGTAATAAAGCAATAATATTATTCCTTCAAGTTGTGCTCTATTTGAGATACAAAAATCTACAAAAAGTTTTTTTTTACGTGTTACTGTTGCCTCCAACCACTGTAACACTCTCACTTCTTGTATTAAAGTTGATATTATTTTCTAGTCTTTCTCGCTTTAGGTCTGTTAATGTCACAGTTAGATTTGGCACAACATACACTAAAGGCTGCATTTATTTGATCAAAAAATGCAGTAAAATCAGTGTTATTGTGAAATTATGATTTAAAAGAACCATTTTCTGTTTGAATGTCATTTATTCCTGCTATTGTAAAGCTTAATTTTCAGCAGTCATTACTCCAGTCTTCAGTGTCACATGATCCTTCAGAAATCATTGTAATATGCTCATTTGCAGCTCAGTTATTATCTGTACTCAATTATTAATTATGGTTATTATTATTATCAAAGTTGAAATGTTTTTGAAATAGAAATCAGCATTTATTTATTAGTCATTTTTCATAAATTTAACGCATCCTTTCTGATGAAAAATAGTATAAATATTTTTTATTATTATTTTTTTTTAATCTTTTGAATTGTAGTGTATCATGGTTACCACAAAAAAATGTTTCTTGAACACCATTTTAGCATATTAGAATGTTTTCTGAAGGATCATGTAATATTGAAGATTGGAGTAATAAAAATTCAGCTTTGCCCTTACAGGAATAAATTACATTTTAAAATATATTAAAATGTAAATAAATTGTAATAATATTTTACAATATTACTAGTTTTAGTGTATTTTTGATCAAATAAATACAGCTTTGGTGATCATTAGAGACATAAAAGTTAGTTAAAAATGAAAAAAAAACAAAAAACCTTTTTTTTCACTTTTTTATTTATTGAATTTGAGTTTTTCATCCGTCTTTGCAACAATATGAACAACAAAAGATTTGTGTTTCTGGTCAGCTTCTGGTTACAAATTCTGCAGCGCAGAGCATAAAAGTTATGAATGAATATGACCATACATCACAGATATCATGAGCTGGTCTCATTTCCTGTGCAGGTTTTTTTTTTTTTTTTCAATTCCACAGAGAAAATAACTCTGGCATCTGATGAATTAGCTTGTGTTGGCAGGAATGTGACAGATTATACTAATGCACGGAAAGACATTATATTGCTCAATTATGTCTAATTAACTGCTCAAATGATTCTGAATGGTTATAAATGATTTAATTCAAACAAATATGTAAACCAGAATGCAAAGCTTTGTTTTCATGTGTTTAGATCGCGCCATTATTCTGGCCAATGCGAACCAAACAAAGCTGATCTGATACATAGAAAATGTTAACGCCTGATCATCACACTGGGTAATGACAAAAATGAAAGGGATCACGTGATATATATTTGCATGTAGTGATGATTTCTTTCCCAGTCAGCTGTCAGAGATCCACGGAGTGGCAGCACTTGAATAGATTCCTCGTGTGAGATAAGAAAAGATTGTGCCATTCAAGTGGTGACTATCAGCATCATTCAGCATAATGGACTGGTTGGTTTGTTGCCTGGCTGATCACATTCGTTAAATGTCTTTCCCAATCAGACTTCATATTTAAAGAACAACAACAGATGTTTTGTCTCATAACAAGCAAGCCAGGAAACATGCAGACTTTAGTGGTCATGATTTTATGGTTTTATGGAATGCATCATTTTTATTTTTTATTTTTTGGTCATGATATGCCTTTGACATTGTGTCACATCCCAATGGATCTAGACATGCAGGCTTCCATTTTTTTATTTAATGGCACCACCTGTGCACTGATATGTCATGTCAATTGTCTGGTAATCACTGGCTATGCTTTGAAAGCTCCGGAGCAAACAAGATCAAAGTTGCAGTTGTTTGAACTTGAGTCTCGCTTGACCTGCATGCAGCGCTTCACTCCATAGAGGTCATCATTTACTCACCCTCATGTTGTTCGAAACCTGTGTGAGTTTCTTTCTTCTGGGGAACAATATTTGAAGCTTTATTTTCCTTGCCATTCCAAAGTGCAGACAATGAAGCTTTCAAACTTCAAAAATCAGGCAAAAACATGAAAAAAGCCCATAAAACGTGTACTATATTCCAAGTGTCCTAAAACCATACAGTATTCTTGTGTGACCAAAATTTAAGTCAGTATTTAATGAAAATCGAATGAATATCTGCCCTAACTCTTCTTGGTGTGTTCATGAGGTTATAAGAGAAGTAGCAATGTTGCCTGATTTGTTACCAGACATGTTCTTTTGAGTCTAACCTTTTCAATGATTTTTCTTGAGTTGGTTCACAATGATCCATTCACAAATCAGACTGAATGTGTTCTTGAGTAACTGAGCAACACTGAATAACACTGAGTAACACTGAACCAGATTTCGTTTTAATGAGAGCTGATGCCCTGTGATTTTTAATAATGGGTAACAGTGACTGCTTCTATGTGGCTTCTCAGTCCTCCTTAAAAGATGAAAATTGCTTCAGATTTTTGATGAAATTGAAAAAATAATACAATATGAAAACAGAAACATCTCACTTTTTTCCCTTTACAGATCAATCGTGCGCCGAGTTTTGGGACAGATCAAAAGATTGATTACGACATGAAGAAGGGGGTTTTGCTCAACGCCCTGAAACTGCTCAACATCAGGTATGAAGCAATACTCTTTCCAGAGTCCCATTAGAAAGAGAAAGAAAGAGTTAATCAGAAAACTCACTCTTTATTCCCAGCTGTCCACCAGTCTTTAGTGTTTTAGAAAATATTGGTTCCTTGATCTCCACTAATGGTGCTTTTCCACTGCGTGGTACGACTCGGCTCGGTTTGCGTTTCCACTGCAGTTTAGTACCGCTTTAGAGTGGGCGGGATTATTCACATGTCGTTATAGTTGTGCCGCCTCTACTGCCGAAAACTTTACTCCTGAAAAACTTTTTCATTCCGCCTCGCCCCATCAAGCTCTCGCTGGATCCGCTCCTCTGCTATAAACGAGAGGAATGTCTGTACTTCCTCAACAGACAACGAAGCAACCACTTTTTGGTTGTTAAAAAAAGGTGCGCTCGTTCAAAACAGTTGCGTTCGATCCTTCACTGGCTGTGCTGATTTAAATCTAGCGGTTCTGTTGTGTTTGTGTCGCAAGTTCAGTGACGCAGGTAGTGACGATTCTCTCCAGCCAATCCGTGATCAGCAGAGTTTACACGTCACATTTTGGTAACGGTACGGTTCACTTGGAACCTCAACCGAGGTGGTACTAAAAAAAGTACCAGGTACTGTACCCAGTGGAAACCCCCCCAAAAGTGAACCATACCGAGCCGTACCGTGCCGTACCATGCAGTGGAAAAGCACCATAAGAAGTTACTTGAAACTCTTTGATGGGTCCTCATGCACTTGTTTTGTATATGCTACTGTTTGATTAGAAAGAAGAATTTTTGGACACTTAAGCCACTCTTAAAAATATCTGAAGGTCACAGGTTTACATGACAAAATATCTAAACAAGTGGCATTTTCAAACAAATAGTGCCATAATTTTTGAACACCATATCACCTGTTTTGTAATTTGAAACCTTAAACTGACTTAAAACAATATCGCTTGCTTCATTTTGTTTTGGAAATGCTGTATTTGTGTTTGAGTTTAAAGAAGTATTCTTGGTTGATGGGGATAGTTCACCCAAAAATGAAAATTTGCTGTTAATTTACTAACCCTCAGGCCATCCAAGATGTAGGCGACTTTTTTCTTCAGTAGAACAGTAAATAAGAATTTTAAGGTGAAACCATGGATCATGGTGATTCATACACTTCACAACTGTGGCTGCCGATTCTTGAGAGTAAAAAACAAACCATATACATACAAGACCAAATTAATTCCCGTGGTTCCTGATGATACATTGAGGTCTTATGAAGTGAAATGATCGGTCTCTGCAAGAAAATGAACATTATTTACAACATTACAGCTTGGGCAAATGGTTCTCAGTGCGTTCACAGCTATCTGGACTGCAAACATCCTCTGTCGCATAATGACATATGTGTGGGCGCATATTAATTTGTTCTTGTCTGTATATGTTTTTTGGACTCTCAAAAACCGGCAATCACAGACGTGCAGTGCATGAATCGCCAAGGACATCGCTTTCACCTAAAAACTTCTTTACTGTTCTACTAAAGAAAAAAGTCACCTACACGTATATCTTGGATGGCCTGAGGGTGAGTAAATTAACAGCGGTAATGAGATGAGTTGAAACATATAGATATAGCAAGGTGAGTAAATGGTTTAATCCCACTATTCTCAGATATTTATGGTCTTATGGCTATAATTTTGAACTAATTGTATATTTTTAGTTAAATGTTTATTGCTGTGTTGTATGATCACCCAGTACACTTCATTTGTATGTTTCATTAAGTTATTACTGTGAATACTGAGTGTACTGATACTATTTTTTTTCAAACTGCTTTCTATTATTGTATTGTATTTAACTTCAAATGTTCCTAAACTATATGTTTATGTGTGAGGATTGCGTCTTTTTGTGGGAATGTTGTGTATGTTCGCTTGTGCATGCTTCCTGAGTTTGTGTGACTGCCTGTGTACATCTGTGCGTGTAGTTATATGTCAGTATGCGGGGTTTCCGGTGATTGATTATCATAGACCTGGCCTTCAAATCCCAGGTCCACCTTTTGTACTAAATATACCAGAGTGGCCCAACAATGGTCCTAGAGTAGGAAACAACAGCAGACAAACTCAATCGAGCAGTGGATCAGATTTCAGGATGCATTGCTGCCATTCTGTCACAGTGATTTTCTTGGAATTCTCCACAGACGTTTACTGTGTCCCAACTGATCCAGCTGAGTTCTTACCAGTAACATATCAAAGCGACTCCTGTGTTATTTCCCCAGCAGTGGCAGGACAAAACCAATAACTCAGCAACAAGAACTCAGAAGTGTGAAAGTCGTATCAATAAAATGAGAGGCTTCCCCGGTGGTTCAGGAGCCCACTGACCCTGAATGGCCACTTCCAACAGCAAATTTGAAAGGCCAGTGAGCGATGAAATCTTAAAGTGCTGAATGCTGTCAAGTCGAGTGATGTATGGAGTCTCAGAGTCTGTCAGGATTTCGGCTGGGAGTTTGGGCTACTTTGAGTGCTATTACTTGAGCATTTCCTTTTTTTTTTACCCAGAGCCAGTGATAAACGACGGAATTTGGCCCAGCAGAAGGCGGAAGCCCAGCGACGACTGTACGGACAGGGATCAATGCGGAAACTGACGGCCGGATCATCGGAATGGGAGAAACAACGTCACCTACTAGAGCGCAGGAGAGAAGAGCTGGTGAGGCCTGTTCAGCAGTTAAAAAACATAATTTTATTCAGTCACATTTAAGTAATGAAGCCAAATAACGTTTTGATGTTGGAGCCATGGATTAGCAGTTTTGTGCACTTGCTCCAGATTTGTTGAACCTTCGTACTCATGTGGAAAATGAAAATGTGGGTTGGGGGGTGGGTTTGGGTCAGGGGTCCTGGCCCGGCCACCTCTGTCAGTTTGCCCCCTCACCTTTGGTGCCATCTACAGAGTGGGTGCCCTGATTTTAGTCTGTGAGGCAGGCTACTGCCCTGGGAAGATCTCCCACTCAGAAATAGGAGCTGGGGAGTGGGTGGGTGTGGAAGAAGGTATGGATCTTTCAAAGACTTCTGCTCAAGCTCTAGCGCGCTACGGGATCCAGACGCTCTCTCATTGGAGTCATCTGATCCTGATAGCACGCTGCTGGGCTCTTCTACTCATAGTGACGGAAATGAAGAGGTTGATGTGGTTGGTGATGATTATGAGAGTGTGAGCACCGAGTCGTCATCGGCCATTCCCAGCCGCTCATACGGATATGTTGGATCTGATGGATCGTGCCACTAAGCAGCTCGATCTGGTCTGGACGAGTCAGAAGCCGAAGCCAGCTCGCGGCCAACTAGATGAGCGTTTTTTGGCTGGTCTTGATCGTCCCGCCCCCGGGAGTCTTCCGTTTCTCCCAGATCTCCACTCGGAGATATCTAAATCCTGGGGGAAACCGTATTCCTTTTCGGCTGCATCTCTTTCAACATGCAGACTATGCTAATGTTGAGGGTGTGGCCGAGCGTGGATACGCGTGGATGCCCCCTGTTGAACAGACGGTTGCGAGCTATCTCTTGCAGGGTGAGTCATCCTCTTTGAAGACTCCTGCCTTGCCATCAGTAGTGCTTCAGACCACCTCGCGCCTGAATGGCAGGGCGTATGAGGCAGCAGGACGGTGGTGCTCTGCACACCATGGCGCTGTTACAGGCCTCAGGCTAACTTGTTGAAGGATTTGGATGAGGGTAAAGACTTGCCGCCAGAGGCAGTCAAAGAGCTGTGCCGCACCACGGATTTGGCTCTCTGCGCCACCAAGCAAACTGCTGCTGCCATTGGGCGTTCAATGGCGGCAATGGGGGCTACGGAGAGACATCTGTGGATTAACCTTGCGGCCATCGGGAACAAAGAAAAATACTTTCTACTCGACGCTCCGCTTTCGCTGACCGGGCTTTTTGGCACTTCCGTCGAGGCGGTTGTGGAGAAGTTCAGGGAGGCGAAGGCACAATCGGCTGCCTTCAGGAAATTAATTCCCTGGCGCTCCAAATCCTCTTCTAAGGGGGACGATCGGTCTAGAGCTGAGGCTCATAGACAACATCAAAAGTCTAGCGTCTCTAACCGCAGCCCTCCTCCCTCTAGGAGTCAGCGGGGAAAGCCTACCACTAACAAGGGAAGAGACTATCTCAGGAACGTACTGAATAGGATCTCCCCTGCTATGGTAGTAAGTAGATAGCCCACTCTCTGTGGTCTGGGCAGCTCTGTAGGAAGGTTATCTCGCTATGTTATTCTGTTCCTCATGCCTTCATAAGACCTTAGGGACATTGCTATCTGAGGATAGCAGTGTTCCAGCTCAGCGGTTACTCTTTTTTGGGATCTCTGAGCTCCTCTGGAGGCTTTCTGTTAGCCTCTTGATTGGTCTTGTGTATCCAGGCTAGTTCTGCTAATATAGCATAGCTATAGGATGTTCTCCTTGATCTATTTGGGTTCCCCCATTTTTGCCAAGTTGCGGGAGCAGCCCGTGGTCTCAGTGGCATGGCCACTTTCTGAGGAAAGGCTTGGCATATGTATGTCGCTTCCTTGGTGCTCCTCCACCAGGTGGACAGGCATGTGCCTCGGCACGGCATGGTTGGATTTCGTTCCCCAATGTGCCCCCTAGGGGGCGCAGCGTGGAGTTCCCTAGAAGGGGAACGTCTCGGGTTACGCATGTAACCATGGTTCCCTGAGAGGGAACAAGACGCTGCGCCCCCTTGCCATGCCTTCGGCTTGCCTGTTTACGTCTCCTTCAGACAGCTAAATGGATGACGTATTCAGCAGATGCCCTTTTATACTTCCGGGCATCCCGCCTATGACGTCATGGGCCAATAGATTGCCGTTGTTTCACACGTGCTTCAGACACCGGTCATGCAGGCTGCATTCCCCAATGTGCCCCCTAGGGTGGCGCAGCGTCTCGTTCCCTCACCCCGCCCAAATGTATACGCAAAGAAAGAAGGCGTAACTTTTATTCTCGCTGTAGTATTGTTGCTGCCGCCATATCATGGAGACGCAGTGTGTTTCGTTGCGAAAGCCAAACTACTTTGTTTGGCCTTCTAGGACACAACTAGAAGTCAGTGGTATTTACAACACTGTTCCAGAACACTACAACCCAAATATTCGAGTGTGTGCATTTTATGGGGAAGGTTTCCTGAACCTGGCAAGAGGCGTAACATTTCCGTCACACGCTTGAGGTATTCGGCCAAACACAACGCACTAGATATCCAGCCAATCAGATACATTGCATTACACCAAATACACAAAATAATGTTCTTTTTAGCAACTTCATATGACCCCTTTAAACATGCAGCAAACGAAAGTAGGTGATTAATCGGTTAAAAATTCCCTTAGAGGGCACTATGGGGAATGGTATACCAACGCCACCATGCTGAAGGGATGAGTGCTTTATTGGTTGAGCCAAATCAAAGACTTAAAGGAGTCCTCACCCCTGCACCAGCAACGCAATCATAGACTGGAGCTTCTCAAAAAGAGCCTAACACTCAGAGCTAACTGGCCCGTGAAGCTCTGCAGAGTGGAGGCCTAAATACAACACCTCTTAAAATGAGAGGCAGCTTAGCAACACTCCATACTAAGGTCAGTAGCCAAGGAGGCTCCCAGAGAGCCTAACAACCTAGCATACTACCCTACCGCCTAGCCGAGCTCTAGGAGTGGAGGAGCATGATGACTCTCTAAAACGAGAGGAGGCCTAATTACGCCCCACTCTCAGGACATCTTGTAAGGAAGCTCACAGAGAGTCTATGACTCACAGATGCTGTCCTAATCGAGCTCTGGCGAGTGGAGGCCTCAATGTAGATAACTCTCTGTAGCGAGAAGAGGCCTGACAACAGTCTCGTGAATGCATCATACCTAGCACATCCAGCTTGATCGTAGAGAAGACAGCATTCCACCCAAAAACGCGTCCCACATCCCTTCGGGAATAGGGACAGCTATTATAAAAGCTGTTTGCATAGCTTCTCAGTGAACTACGGCTCTGTGTAGTAAATGCTGTTCCATCTGAAAGCATGTGAAAATACCACATTTAATATCATGTTTTTACTCCAAACTCACTTCATAACGTCAGTCGAGTGTTTGAAGTAAATCTTTCTGTGAGATGATGTGGCTTCTTATACAGAATAAGGCACTCAACATATTTCGGCTATGTCGATTAGCATTGCATTATTATATACTTTATTATAATAAACATTATAATGCGATAAACCATATATTGTCGTAGTCGTGTGTTTATTAGTCTCGTTGAATCAGTGAAAGCAGTTAAATCTTCTGTTTATTCAGCAACCGCTATAGGGATTTCCTGGATTTCGTCTGCAAGGCGTATTTGGAGTTTCAGCGTGAGAGCGCCCTCTGGCCTTCTGATGGAGATTTACTTCTGATCACAGAACCGTGCTTTACTGAAAGATATGCATGACAATCGCAGATTCTGCCTAATCGCATTTATCGCCTTTGCAATTTAATTCCGATTAATCGTGCAGCCCTATGTTGTACTTTTCATATTATTAGTTGCTATATACAGCAAAACTACAGCGCTTCCAGCGCTTTTTTACGGAGCTGTCAACACTGGAAACTCCGACAGCATGCAATCAGTTGTCGAACACCCTATTCATATATAAAACAAAGCCATGTTATTAAATTGTATATATAAAATTATTTGTGTTTGTGTTTTTCCAGATTTATTCATTGCATCCGTTGCATCTGAAAATTACTTTATCTAGCCTACATATCTACACTAGAAGTCTACATAATTTAAATAAATCAGTATTCAGAAACAGGTGCTGTTAAACAGGTGCCGTTATTTTTTTCAAAGTGAATTTGCATTACTTGCATTACTTATTTGAAAAAAGTAACTCTGATATTTTGTTGTAAATTTAAAAGTAATTCGTTACTTTACTAGCTTCTTGAAAAAAGTAATCTGATTACTTAACTTGCATTACTTGTAAAGCGTTAACCCCCCAACACGGATAAAAAAGTGGCAAACCACACAAAACTAAAAAAGAAAAAATATATTTAAGTATTCATATTCTGTAGATGTACAGACAAAGCACGTTTTCGAGAAAGTTCAGTAAGTAGAAGGTGCTTTGTGCACCAGTCCTTGATTGGTCTTTCGATCAACGTTTTATTATATGAAGAGATGAATGAGGTTGAGATGACTGCAGGTAGGTGGTATTTTCAAAGGGCAAAGCTAGATGCAAAAGAGGAGTGAGATTTGGGGATTGGGGGCTGAACGAATATGCCTGTACCAGCATTTAGCAGAGATCAGTGACTATTATATAAGACACCCTGCTGTGCCACTGCAAATTGACCAGCTGACCTTTCCACAATTATAGTTTTTGATGTATTAAAATGGTACAGTGGGAGTTAAATCTATATGAATTATGAATGGGCCCCCTGTATTAACAAGTGTAGAGGAAAGGCTGTTATTCGCGCCTCCTAAGTCTCAGACTTCATTAAGGTGCCTCGTAATATGGGAAACGAGTCATTTGATGCCATTGTTATTCGGTTTTGGGTGGCTAAATTACACTGCAGGATAGCACTAACAGAAACAGGGCTTTATTTCTTTGTTGTTCTTCCTGCTTCTTGCTGCTTATTCACTTGTGTTGTGTTTTCAGAAAGAAAGACTGGCCCAAGTCCGCAAGCAGGTCTCCAGGGATGAGCACGAAAAGCGGCACCTGGGGAACTACAGGTAGGGAAGCCGCTTTGACGATTGTTATCCTGTAAGAATGCCCGCTTACACTTGTGTGGTCTCTTGTGGCTTGGTTTGGGATGTGACGGTATGAAACAATTTCTTAGGCTCTCATGTGAGGACAAAACAAGAGTTGTTCTAAAACTTTCCACCTTCGTAGGCAGAAAAGGGAGATAGTAAGGCACCAATGCATGTTTGAATCCAGTGTTTGGGTAACATTCTGTTTATTAATATAAGTGAAAATTTATTTGCAGGATTTGTGTTTACATTTGTGCTTTATCCCTGTAAAAAGACATGTGAAAAAAAGTAATAAAATATTATTAATTAATTTATACATACAAACAGATCATGCATATGTGTAGGTCAAAGATGAAAATATAACCCTCCCCCCAAAAAAAAATCAGGCATATTTTAGAACCAGAATCATTAGATGTCATTAAAAGACTCTAAATAAGGATCGCAGTGCAATCCACATTGTAATTTTAAATCTTTACCAATCTTTGCCACTATTCTTTAAAGCACTAAATTTTGCCCATTTTTTCGGCAAGATTGTTTTTTTTAAGAATTAAAATATAAGAAAATTTGGTATGATCACTTTTTCTTTTATATATTTTAATAAGTACAGGTCAGAATAAGTATGTTGGTTCATTTTTACATACATATATGTTATGCTGAATGACGATGGAACATGATTTCACCCATATTTTGCCTTTTTATTTTCACAAAAGTTATTTGAAACATTAAAGTAGACACTTTACTTGCATTTAATATGCTTTCTATGTATATAAAATCACTTTTGTAAAATTTAATTCAATGTGGACACCAAAATGAGACATCTTGTCTTTGACCCACATACAAGGCCAAACTAAACTATAGACAACATTATAGAAAACATGTAATTAAATTAAAATTTATTTGCAGGCTTAAATTAATTTTTTACCTCAGTTATGACTGCTAGTTTGAGAAGCCCTGGCCTAGAAGAACCAAACATTATCAGTATTTTTATATATTATTTCTGTCTGAGATTGCTTGATTCAGGACATCAAACAACTTCAGGTTGCTACTTTAATGACTTCTAAAGAAGTTTTGTAAAGAAGCCAAATGCATCAGCAGCCAAATGCTTCTTGCTTTTATTACGTTTGTCGTTTGTTACATTCAAAGGATCTGCCAAACGAAGACCTGCCATTAAGACTTGATTAACCTGACCTCATTACACAAGCATCTTGACTAACCCTTCGTATTTACCATAAAGGGTGGCTTCATCATAGAGAAATTGCAGCATTTAGCATGTGATTTGCTGTGATTTTTCACTTAGAAAAAAATAGAAAATAAAAAATGCAGTCACCTCGTAATTGCTCCTTAATACGGAGCCTCCACGTCAGAGCTTCAGAGGAGGAATACGAAACAAATGCCTCTTCCTAAATAGGTCATTTTATGCCTATGCATGTAACTACTGTTCTGTTCAACTCTAAATAAAAACACCCCGAAAGATGCTGAAACATGAAAAAAAAAAAGTGTTTGAGGTTTGTGGGTCAGACCCAGATTTCAACATGTGCCATATGCCGAAGACTAAGCCCACTTACTCTTACTAGATTACTTCTCCCACACAAGTTTGTCCATCATGCTTGTAGCTCTTAATGGATTTGGGGTGGCTTATCGTCTGATCTGAAAATTTACATTTACTTGAGCTTTTGATTACGTTGAAGCCGGAATCCAAAAGAGCTGTTTTAAATGTCACACGCCAAGTGACTTTTAGTTTATTAGGCTGAAATGTGGTAATATGGGAGGTAAAACGAGTCGCTCGTGGTCGTGCCACCATTATTTTGGTCGGTGGTTCTCAAATGGTGGGTCAGACTGTTCTAAAAAAATGAAAGAACAATGCTAAATAAAAAATAAAAAATAAATGCAACGGTAACACTTTAGAATAGGGAACACATATTCACTATTAACTAAGAGTTTTCCCTGAACAAACTCTTAATTTGCTGCTTATTAATAGTTAGTAAGGTAGTTGATAAGTTTAGGTATGGGGTGGATTAAGGGATCTAAAATATGGTCATGCATAATAAGTTATTAATATGTGCTTTATAAGTACTAATAAACAGCCAATATGATAGTAATATGCATGCTAATAAGCAGTGTTGGGAAGGTTACTTTGGAAATGTAATAGGTTACAGATTACAAGTTACCCTATTTAAAATGTAATAAGTAGTGTAACTATTTCAATTACTTTATTAAAGTAATGTAACTGATTACATTTGATTACTTTTTGATTACTTTTCAAAATTTCTAACAAATGTTTTCAAATGTTAATAATTTTGAAACATTTAAAGTAGGCAGGGTTAACCTTGCAGTGGTACTCAACACTCATTACTGTCAGACTTTCAGAATCCTTCATTTGAATTAAGATTATAATAATTTATTTTTAAGGCACATCCACCACAAAAGCACCTCTTTTTACTTTGAGATCGTTCTGAGGTTAAATACAGATTTAAATCCATAACAAGATATAGTTTAATAGCCATGACACTGTTTTTGAAATAAAATCTTTGCATAGCTATGACAGAAAACACAGGCATTAATCTTAAAAAAAAAAGCATAAACATAAACCCAAATAGGAACAGTTATCGTATAACGTGTCCTATTCTGTGTCCTGAACTCCTGAAGCATTGGTGTCTCATATTTTAGAGCAGTCAATGCAATTTGGGAAAGAAATCAATTAAATCTGTATGTGAGTGTGTGTGAGAATATTCAAATGTAACCCCTTTGTAATCTTAAAATTTTTTTTTTAAATTTTTGTTCAGTAACTGTAACTGATTACATTACATTTATTTTGAAATTAAATGACGTAATTCCTTTACATGTAACTAGTTACTCCCCAACACTGCTAATAAGCAACTAATTAATAGCGAGAATTGGTCCTTAAAATAAAGTGTTACTAATGCAACTAACCATAAAATGTCTTAAGTTATGATAGCAAAATAAATAAATAGTCTTATTACACAGTTTTCTGGAATACTTGATGCTGATTGGTCAAATGCTGCATTCTGCAGTCAAATATTCTCGATTTATTTATTTGGTAAGTAGTCAGTATTAATAAGCAGGATAATTCTTGTATTCTGACAGTCACTATTGCGAAATAAACCGCTTCAGGATGCTGCAAGTTCATCTTGACTCTACATTATCAACTTTTAAAAGGGAGTCAAAACATTTCCCACATATTTTGTCATTGATGTCACTAGCTGTCCAATCCAACTGTACGGTATTTTGGCACAAATACATTTATCACTGGTTAAACATCTAAAACTAATACAATATTAAGCCCATTGTTTGTGTTAAAATGCTTAGACTAATCTAATATTTTTCTTCAAGAATGGACATATCTTTTTTAAGTCAGTTACATAAAAACATAAATCGTTCTAATTTGAATCCAAAAAGTAAGATTGATTACACTTTGAATAACTGCTAGTTGGTCAGACTAGTTCTTAAGAACACACAGTCTTAATGCACAATCTTAACAGTTTTTTTTTATATTCAGTGTATCGTGTGGCATCTTATGTGTAATTCATGGTAATATGGTAGCACTTTACAACAAGGTTTATTTCATTAACATTAGATAACTACAGTTAACAGGAACTAACAATGAAAAATACTTCTAAAGCATTTATTAATCTTAGTTAATGTTATTTTCAGCATTTATTAACATTTAGTTCAGCAGTACATTATCATCAATCAAAAGTTATATCTGGTCATATCATTAATGGACCTGAGCTAACATGAACTAACAATGAAAAGTTGTGGTTTTGGTCACCCTTTAGTTTGAGGATCAAATCTCACTATTAACTAACTATTAACTACGACTTTTGCCTCAATAAACTCTTAATTTGCCACTTATTAGTAGTAAGTAAGTTAGTTGTTAAGTTTAGCTATGGGGTAGTGTTAAAGGGATCTAAAACAAAGTCATGCAGAATAAGGCATTAATGTGTGCTTTATGAATACTAATAAACAGCCAATATGGTAGTAAAATGCATGCTAATAAGCAACTAGTTAATAGTGAGAATTGGTCCCTAAACTAAAGTGTTACCGTGTTTTTATTAACTAAAAAATATAATGTTCATTGCTGAAATGTAAATTGTTACCAGTAATATTAATACATTTCAGGGCTTTGTTTGCATAATCTTGATACTGTAGCGGCCAGCCATCTGATGTCTGAAGTAAAATCTGGGTCCTGAAGCACAGCCAGTTGCTGGTTTTGATTATGTCCCCGACCCAATATGGCACTGATCTGAAGATTCATCACACAGATATAGACAAAGGTTTACACGTCTCTGGCTTTTGTTTAGTCTTAACGTCTAATATAAAGACACGTTTATTAATCATTAGTATATACACAGCATTAATGGACAAATGCATGTGTGAAAAGTGTGAACTGAGGTTTGTTTAAGTGATTAGAAAAGCAGGCAGACCAGGCCGTTAAATCAGATAATCAGATAAAACTCTCTCTCTCTCTCTCTCCCTCTCTCCATACAGATGTATTTACCCCCCAGAGGACAAGCTGCTCTTGGAGAAATCTGAGAGTCTCCTTTCAGCTGCCTTTCAGACATTCCTCGCTGGGCGAGCAGCTTCACTTCAAAAGGAAATTAATAATCCACTGAAACGAATGAAGGCATGTATCTGAGATGCAACCAGACAATCTTTTGCTCTTTTTCCTTCTTTTTATCCTCCCTACTACTTCTTTCTACTACTTATTCTTTTGCATTTAAAATAAGAAATGCGGAAGTGTATTTTACTTCCTAACTCTTGTTGGGGCCATCTGTTTTTCGTTAGTGTAGTTGAAGGCAACCATCAGTATCTTTCATGAGCTACAGACATGAATGATACCTCAAATCATGTGGTTTGTTGTGGAGAGGGGTGCTGTTACTATAAGACTTTTGCCTAGTAGATGGTAAATCTAGCCCATTGACTGACTGTGATGGCCATACAGAATCTAGACCATCAGTGTTGAGAAAGCTATTTGGAAAATTTTGGTTTTCAAACTACCAGCTTCTCATGATTTAAGATTTTAACTATAGCAGGGCTTGCAAAATTTCAAAATCCCTGGTAGCCCTTCGGGCAGGCATTCTTCAGATTTTGGTAGCCCAAAAATGAATTTAACTAGCCCGAATAAAAGATTAAATAACAAGTCAAGAGATTAGGGCTGCAACGGATCACAAATCTCACAGTTCGGATTATATTACATTATCATATCACATTTTGAGTCACAGATCGGATCATTTTTCAGATGAGCAAAAAAAATATGGTTCTTTATTATTTAAGTAACACTTATTATTTAAATAACAATTTACTACTTCGATACCACAGCAAAAACTAGTAGCATATAGGGATGTAACGATTCACTCAACTCACGGTGTGATATAATTCACGATACTGATTTCACAATGCAATTTTCTCACAATTTCTTTTTTAACAAAATTAGATTTAAGACAGATTTTAAAAATGTTTCCTTTTGTTATTTCTCAGACCAAAAGGCTGCACATTACTTTGTGAAACTGAAAATGTCAAACAATATACTAACTTAAAATTTAAAAACAAATACCACAAAATGAGATTTAAGACAGAATTTTAAAAATGTTTCCTTTTGTTATTTCTCAGACCAAAAGGCTGCACATTACTTTGTGAAACTGAAAATGTCAAACAATATACTAACTTAAAATTTAAAAACAAATACCAAATCAAATAAATAATATTTCTCCATGCAAGTAAACTAAGGTTTTGCCTGTGTATTTTAATCACAATCCAAACAAAGATGCTGCATACATGTTATTTAGATTGTAAAATGTTGAAATTTGAAACAAAAACAAAATTGTCTTATTTTAGCTTTGTGATACTACATAAAAAATCTGGACGAAACAAAAACAGCAGATGGGCTGAATGAGACGCAAATGTCACTCTCTGACAGCAGGTGGCGCTTAAACAGCAGGTATTTATAGGCTGCTGCCCCTTTAAGACCGAATGCACGGATCTAATATAATAATGCACGTGTGATTTCTTTCTCCACGGTTTACGTTCATTTAAGACATGAAAATACTTGCCGAGATAGTTATTTTGAGATAATTTTGCGTGTATGTGTCCGTTCAAACATTTCTGTGT